CTTGGTCAGAGACGCAGAGCAACGAGACGGAAGGGCGCTAGCACCCCCCAATTACATTTTCACCCTTTTGGCTTTTCAAAATACAACCGCCACACTACACATTTGTAATCGAAGAAATAAAAATCGAAACCCAAATACAAAAAAAAGGAAAAAGGTGAAATTTAGTGCCACGAAGAACTCAAGCAGGAAATTATCGTGCTGTAAGCACAACTAAGCGCCACTGCTCTATTCTAAAGCATTCCAACGACTCTCTCAGATAAGAAAACAACTCGAAACGGCATTGTGAAGGGGATCGGATCGGGGATGGGGCGGGCTCTCGGCCGCGGCATCGAGCCAATCGAGGTCCCGCAGCGAACATTGGCAAAAGCTGGCAAAATGCCACGAATTGGACCGGTGGATTTAAATGGATTCGTCGTTGGTAGGGTGCGTTTTTGCCTCAGAAAGCGCATAAACTCTCCATCAAATGTTCTAATTGATTCCTAAGTCAAGAAACAAATCCACTCCTAGTCTTCGTCTTCTGAAGATCCATTCTGATCATCTGGGACGATGTCACTGTACTTCTTTGTCGTTTGATATACTATGGATGCTGTAATTGAAAAACTCCGAAAGAGGAATTCTCAAGGTAGATTTTATTAGTATACCAATATTGGTCACCTACTATTGACGCTAGGGTGGCGTTCCTTTTGGTTAATGATAATATCATTGTTGACGAACCGGCGGCGTTTGACATTAGTCACCATTTGTTTGTTTTTTGAATGCTATTTTTTATTTAGTGCGTGTGAGACATCTTTCGAATGCACTTGACAGTATTTTGTCCGCTACAGAGCATTTATCTATTGACTCTGGAGATGTAAACAACACAACTGATCCAGGTATGTTATAGGTCAGGCTTTAGGAATTGATCTTGTTCATACTAATAAATGCTAATACTAATAAACTTAAATCTAAGCCTAATGAAGTGAGTATGATGATTTCAGAGTAAGGTTTGTGGAAATGTTTTCTTGTTTGCAGATAATGAAAGGGAACACGTAACTATCCAGAGCTCATGTGTTCTCGCCCAAAACGTAGATCTTCTATTGGCAGATGCTTCTGCTTTGACTTTTTTCATACAGTTCCTAGAATACTACGGTGGGTTCTCAGATAAAAGTTTTCAATTTTCATTGTAGACTGCGAAAATCGCAGAGTCCCCGTGTTGATCTGTGGCCGGTAAAGTCTAGGTGGGGTGCAAAGTGGCAACTGGTTTTGCTACCACTGTGCTGTCATAATTCTTGTTGCGCCTTGGAATGTGCAGCCATGGTGGTCAGTGAAAAACTACATTTCTTTGATATAGCTGTATCATTCTGGTTAAACGCCTCTTGGACAGTCGGCTTCTGCTGTTCCGATAAATTCTAAACGTATTGGAATCCTGCGGAAACTTGACCAAACTGATGCTCGAGAGAGTTGATAATCGCAAAGCAATGATACCAATGACCTGGTGCTGGTGATGTGGGAGGCATGAAGCTTCCTGGCGTGAAGTGATCAATTTTAGTTTTA